ATTAGCTATCATTGTAACTTCGTTTGTTTAAAGATTATTTTACATTTTATCTTCGTATTTTGAGAATTCAAAGGATTCATGGAAGTTTTAATTCTCTATGAAAACTTATTAATAACAATTTGATGATTTCTATAAAATGCTCAGTAAGTTCGATATGAGAGAAAGATATCAAACTTATTGCAATTCATAAAGAAATAACTTTTTGATTAATTCTGTTATATTTATTATATCTATATCTGCTGTTATTATGTATTTACATTAATATATAAAGTATAAAGTACAAATGGTATATGATGTATATGATTACAAGCTGTATCATAGACGAAATTTTACATAATTAATGATAAATGATAATCATTTTTTTTTGTAATTTTATGTAACAGTAACAATTTTTTTGCAAATATTTGAAAAGCTAAACTTGACCATCGATTATTTGTAGAGATTATATGTTCTCCTAATGTTATATAATATTAATTATATAATAATAGAAATTATATAATAATTTTATATAAAAGTAACAATTTTTTTTTACAAATATTTGAAAAATTAAATGCCGGACGCTTAAGCTTTTTCTAAATAAAGAAAAACATAATATTTTATTTTTTATTTTCTGCATTATTAAAAATAAAGTGAAAATATCAAAATAAATTATAAAATCATCAACATTATCAGAATACTAATTTAAATTAATATCAAATTTTAATATATATTGAGAGATCATGAATGTATAAGATGTATTAAAAATTGTTAACATAATTCGGAATATAAATAATATTATTTAATACAATAGTATAATCATTGGAATATCAATATGAATTCATTTTTGACAATTTGAATTAAATGCTTTTTGATTGTTTTCCAAACTACACAGAATCTATAAACTACGTTCTCTGTGTATCTTTTATTTTTTTTCAAAATATTTTAATTTTTTAAAGTTTATTTCTTAAATTTTATTTTTTTTTTCAATTACTAAAATATAGATAGTTGAAATAAGATTTTTATTTTTCACAGATTTTTTTGTTTTTACTTCTATTCATTTCTTTTTGTCATTGATGAAAGAGATAATTTTAAAATGTTTTTATAAATGATAATGTAATAATATAATATTAATGATAATGTAATAAATAATGTATATTTAATATCTTTTCATCTTTTTAAAAACATTATATATTTAAAATTTTTCATCGTTATTTATTCCATTTTTCATATTATTTTTTCTAATAAAATAAATTAGATATTAAAAATTCTTAAAATGTTTAAAATTCTCAAAAAATAGAAGAGATTATGATGCTATTATGATTTTTAAAAAATGCAGTTTTTAACATAATACAAATAAAGACAAAAGATTGTAATTTATATTATCCAATAATAAGAGAAAACGAATCTATTAAAAAACAAATTTTTATGAAAACTAATATTTGTATATGTATATATATATATATATAAAATACAAAAACTATTGAAAAGAAACAAAAGATATAATATAACTCATATTTCTTTTGATTATGAATTAAAATTGGTAAATATAATTCATAACTTAATTTTTATATATTAATTTTGATGTTTGTTTCGGCTAAAAACAAATTTAAAGAAAAGAAAAAGAATAAATATATAAGAATATAAATGAACATGCATAAACTAATAAATGGTCGTATATTAATACTATTACAGATATAAATATAAGTATAAATAAGTATAAATATAAGTATAAATAAAATGCAATAGTAATAATAATAGTAAAGGTATAAATAAAATGCAATAATATAAAGTTTGAATAATTCACAAATTTTAATTTAATTAAATTAAAACAAAGCTATTAATATATATAGAAAAAAAAATTCAAATTGATATAAAAAACAAGAATAATATAAATAAGCAAGTATTATTTTTACTGTTCTTTGTTTTTTATATATTAAATTTCACAAAATTCATATTAAAATATTTGTTAACTTAATAATTTTGAGCATATTACATTTTTGCAAAATATTTTATAGATTTTTTTATAAAGAATGCATTGACTGATGTATTAAAAAACATATAATTCCATTAATTCATTTAAAAAATAAAATAGATTTTTTTCGTATGATTTTTATATATTCATCAAAGAATTAATAATACTATAATATGCTCCTCTTAACGTTATTCAACATTCTAAAACATTTTTAAACAGAATCAAAATTAAATGAGACACTTTGTGATATTTTAAGATAATAAAAATCGATAAGAATCAATAGATGTAATAATATTTCTTAAATTTAAAAATTTTTTATTGTTTTATTTTTAATTCATCATTCTAGAATAATACTTTACTATATCACACATTTGTCAATTTATTCAAAGTTAATAACTATATAAATTCATTCAAAACGTGTTAGCTTAAATCAAAAAATGTTCATGAAATTACATGAATTCATGAATTATTTATTAAATGTGTTTCTGTTTATAATATCAATACAAGATATCTTTTAAGATGTCTAATTTTCTTTTTTTTTCGAAATATCATGATTTCATGACTTTATTGTTTATAAATAGGAGAAAAATATCGTCATGGTTTGTTGGTACCGTCGTATGGGGAACCAAGTTTTCCTCGCAAATCTTATAGATTAAAGTTGAAAATCTTATAGATACTTGTAATGTACTCGAATTATTAATATAAATGTTAATTATAATTCGAATTTTATTTCGAAATATTAGAATAAGAATTCTAATATAGTTACGTAATAAAATTCTAATATAGTAAATTCAACATAAAAAAAATAATTTTAATAAATATTATAAAAAATATTTAAAAAAATAATTTTAATAAATAGTTATTAAATATTTTTTTAGAGATGTATAATTTATATTTTAATAGAAAATGCAAATAAATTTTTAATTCTTAATTGTAAAAAATAGTAGAAAAAATTGTAGAAAATATATTTTATCTTATATTATATTTGCTGTTTTATATTATAATATAAAAATATAAATAAAAATATAAAAATATATTTTAATATAAAAATACTTTTGATTAAAAATATAAATTTTCGCTATATTAAGCTTATTTCATATATACAATGAAGGATAAAAGTATTGATATTATTTAAAATAAAATAATTTTTAAAAAATTGGGACAAATGACTTGAAATTTTTTGAGATGTTAGAATTAGTTTATTAATATTATTTTATAATAAAGTAATATAAATATTTTATAATTCATTATTTTATAATAAAGTTTAATAATGTTTTATTAATTATATAATGCGAAAAAAAAGTTTTATTATTGCTCGAAATTGTGAATCATAATATTTAATTTTTATCGAGTTTATAATAATAATATAATATTTATATATAATATTTTATAATAATATAATCTATATAATAATAAGAATATAAATTTAAAACATATCTTTTGTTTCATAAACATAATAATAAATTATATATGCATAAACTTTTAAAATTAATATATAAAAAAATTACGGCTATCGAAATGTATAAAAATTTTGAGATTTATTATAGTTTGTATAATTTAAGCATTTTCTATTTAACTCACAGCTACATTAATCCATTTTGATATGTATATCTATTGTGCATATATATTTCTTTATTTTTCTTAATAAAAGTTTAAAAAAATATGAGAAATATGTTATTTTTAAAATGTATTGAAAAAAATTTTTGCACAAATTACAAATTTTCCATATAAGTCACTAAGAATGAACTACGTACATACATTATAATATTTATGTATAAGCAAATACAGAATAAAAAATGAAAAAATAAAACAAAAATAGAAAAATTTATACTTAAATAATATAATAAGAAATTGAATTATAATAATTATAATAATAAAAATTATATAATAAGAAATTGAATATTGTAAAAAAAATTCTTTTATTTATTATCTCCCATAAAATTTTTATCTTAATAATTCTCCAATTTTGTAATTTTTTAAAATTATCAAAATGAATAACAATTAATTTTTTCATTTTATTTTTCATTTTATTTTTCTTTTCATGGGAAATATATTTAGAAAAAATTATAATATAATAATTATA